TGAACCAGTAACTAACACATGCTTCTGCAGCTTACCCAGAATCTAAAGGTTCAGGGACCAAGGAAATGAGAGCGGTGTTTCTTATGGGTAAGCCTATTACCAGCTTCTTGCAACTCAAATTGTGGTTCATGGGTCAGCACCGTTGGAATCATCTAGGAGCTTTTTAGAGATGGAATCATCTAGGAGCTTCTTAGAGATGTAGAACCTCAGGACGCACCCCAGACATAATGGATCAGCATCTGCATTTTAATAAAATCCTCTATTCATTCTACATGCACATTGAAGTTTGAGAATCACTGGTCTAACTGATTCACAACATTTTTGTTTTTTATCTTCAAATCTCTGCGTTCTGCTTTTTAATACTTCTAGTACCTGAGGGATGGGTGCTTTCACCAGGGATACAAAATGATTCCAATGACATGAAAGCAGAAACTACACTCCTACCTGACCATTTCAGGACCACAATGCCTCTAGGAAACAGATAGTAAAGGACTGATCCTGATTATCAAGGGGAACCAGGGTGGCTGCTACGCAATGTGGCAGGAAGGAGGGTGGATGGGAGTTAAGAATCCTCTGGGGGGGATCTGAGTGTGATCACTTGCGTGAGTGAGTACCGCCTTGTTCGGAGGTAAAAGTCAATGGATCATCACTACAACCTTACAGAGGCAAGATTACTAAGGTCTCAGATTGCCCACAAATGAAGATTTAGGCCACACCCCTGGGTAGGGAACCCCACTCACTAAAGCTCTAACTGAAGACAAAGGGAACTTGAATTAGATGGTAGAAGAGGGAAGTAGTAGGAAAAATTATGAAAGAGTCTGGAATGGATGTTCTGTAAAATGCTAGGTGCTGCCCAGAGCATCCTTCTGAATTATCTTGATTCTACAGGTGTCTTGTTTTTCAATATCTTTGAGCTATTTTACAACTTTGTAAGTTATACAAAACTGACGGCAATGCAAATGATTTTGTCCATAGAGGTGCAAATAAATTTTGTCCAACGGATCTCCCCACCCTCCTCCAAAATCAGCTGAATATCTATTAATAAATATATTTAATCATTCCTGATTTCTCAGATACATCTGTTCTTTGGAGTCTCCTTTGAATTTTTTTTTTTTAACACCTTACTGGTTCCCTTATTAATTAATGAGTTAAGTAAAACTTTCAACATGTGTCAACTTTATTTTTGTATAAGAGTCATGATTTTACCCTTTTAAAAAAAATTATCTTTTGGGGCGCCTGGGTGGCTCAGTCGTTAAGCGTCTGCCTTCGGCTCAGGTCAAGATCCCAGGGTCCTGGGATCAAGCCCCGCAACGGGCTCCCTGCTCAGCAGGAGGCCTGCTTCTCCCTCTCCCACTCCCCCTGCTTATGTTCCCTCTCTCGCTGTGTCTCTCTCTGTCAAATAAATAAAATCTTAAAAAAAAAAAAATTATCTTTTAACAAAAGACATGAATACCAGCTATGAACTCATGACTACTTGCATGACTAAGGACTATAGCTTCTATCCATATTTTCTTCCTTTCTGTATTCTGTATAGATTTAAATATTTTTTTTTAAAGATTTTATTTATTTATTTGAGAGAGAGAATGAAAGACAGAGAGCATGAGAGGGAGGAGGGTCAGAGGGAGAAGCAGACTCCCCGCCGAGCAGGGAGCCCGATGCGGGACTCGATCCCGGGACTCCAGGATCATGACCTGAGCCGAAGGCAGCCGCTTAACCAACTGAGCCACCCAGGCGCCCCTAGATTTAAATATTTTAACTAGTTTTATTTTTACATATTCTCTTTCTCTCCCTAATATAGTATATGGGGTATGTCAGTGATGGTTCACTTGACAATTTAATTTTTAGAGTGCTGAATAGTAAGATCAGAGCCAGAGGAGGAGAGGACTTTGCCAGAGATACTGGATTGGTGCTGGACTCAGCTGAAAAAATTTGGATTTGCCAAGTACATAAATCATATAGAATTCTCGTTGGAAAGTTTTTTTAAAGCCAAAATATGGGCTAAGGAGTGAATGTGGGTGTTGAGCAGCCAAAGAAGTAACTGTAGTAGAGATATATCTATATCTATATTTATTTGTTTTTACCACCAACATCCAATACCTTCTAATTTGGGGAGAGTCTCCCAGCATGAGGATCTTCGTGGGAGACAAGGCCTGTTACATAGGCTTAGAAAAGTCAAATGCTCGTATTTAGGATTTTGAATCTGCAGGGACTGTTCCAAAGGCACAGACTTCTGGCAGCCAGTGTCCCTGGTGGTGATATCAGCAACACCTTCCTCACCAGAGCTTTCCTGTGATGTGAACTTGGCTGTCACCAAGAAGCTGTCATCTAGGTGAAATGTGACTATGGAAGAATGGTCAGAGATGCTACCCGTTGGCTCTGAAGATGGGGGAAGGGGCAGGAGCCAAGGATTACGCAGATGGCCTCTAGGAACTAGAAAAGACAAGGAAATGGATTCTCCCCTAGAGTCTCCAGAAGGAATGTGTCCCGGCCTGATTTTAGCCCAGTGAGAGCCATTAGACTTGTGACCTCTAGAACTGGGAGATAATATCTTTGTGTTGTTTTAAGGCACTGAGTTCATGGTAATTTGTTACAGTGGCAATAAAAAACAAATACAGTAGGCCACTGTAGCATTCCAGGGAAAACGTGGTAAGAACCACATTTAAGAGAGTGGCAGCACCAGAGGAGAGACCTGGTTTGAAGTACTATTGGGGGGATAGAGACGGACACCGTCAGCAACTGGGTGTGTGTATGGAGTTGGGTGGTGAGGGGGAGGCAGAAGTTGAAGGCAATTCCAGGTTTCTGTCTTGGACAAATGAGTTTATTGGTCAAAATGAGGGAAAGAGGTCAGTGTGATGGTGAGTGTGAAAGTGTGTGAGAGAGTGTGTGAGCATGAGAGTGTGAGTGTGTGTGAGAGCATGTGAGTGTGAGAGAACATGTGTGAGAGAGTGTGTGTGTGAGACTATGTGAGAGTGAGTGAGAGAGCATGTGGGTGTGAGAAGTGTGTGGGGTATGTGAGTGGGAGAACATGTGTGAGAGAGTATGTGAATGTGAGTGAGAGAACATGTGAGTGTGTGTGGGAGTGAGAGAGCATGTGAGTGTGAGAAGTGTGTGTAAGAGAACATGTGTGAGAGAATATGTGAGTGTGAGTGTATTAGAGAACATGGGAGTAAGTTACAGGTGTGTGAGTGAGAAAACGTGTGAGAGCACATGCAAGTGTGAGAAAGTGTTGGAGAGCATGTGTGTGCAAGTGTGAGGGTGTGTGCAAGAGCACGTGTGAGAGCATGTGTGAGAGAGTGAGTGACAGTGTGCGTGCGTGTGAGCAAGTGCAGGAAAAGCAGGCAGATCTCTTCTCATACTACTCAGGTCCTTTCTTTCAATTCAATTTTTACCAAGAAACCTTCTAATCTTAACTCTCAAGCTTGCCCTACTGGGAAAAACTCGTGCTCACTAGCCAACACAAACAGCTGCTCTGCTTGTCAGTTATATTTTTCACTCTAAATTAATGAATTGCCATTTTAGTCATAAACCAGGCTCCTGTGAGTTTGGTCAGAGCAAAGCAATTTACCAGGGTCTGATCTCTCCCAGATGAGCTGACAGAATTGAGTTTCTGCCCCTGCAAAGCGGAGGATCAGACCCTGAACCATGGTGACCCTGATTATGCCTCCTTACGTGGCACAGCTTCCCTGCACCCTTGGCTGGAAGGGGTCAGGAGAGACACTTTGGGAGAGGCCGCCTCATGCTTTATCCCTGCGCCAAGCCAATTGAGAATCATGAGGTTCTGTGCTTGCAACTTAACAGCTATTTAGAGTTCACACTCTGTGACTCACTCGAATATACCAGGGATCCAGTCTCCAGAGAACCCACCCCTGTCTGGATCCCCTGCTTAGCAGATGCAAGCCCAGACAAGCAGCTCAGGGAAACTGAGGAAATGTGGACGGGGGTGAGGGGTGAGTTCCGGTTGCAGCTGACCTAGAGGTGGCTGATTTTCATCATAAAGACATCCTGGAAAATCTGAGAAAGAAAGTGACTCTCAAATACACTTTATTTCTTTACCTGTGGCAAACTTCCAAAGTGACTTCCGAGTAAAGGAAGAAAAGCAAAGACCCTTTGTCCCTCACAACACTAGGGGCCAGGATTGCTGATATCCACCCCTCCGATCAGGAAACCAAGGCTCTTGGAAGTTAAGCTTCTTGTCCAGCATTGCATCCATCAAATGTCAGAGCCGGCACTTGACTTCAGACTCCTGATGCCCAAATCCACGTCCTCTGTTGTCTGACCTGTGTTTCTGTGCTACATGACATGGGGCACCCTTTCCTCATCAGCCACCCCATGTAGGTGCTTGCCAACCAGGGGTGGCCTGATGATTCTCCTGCCTAGAGGTGCCCAGGACATGGAGGGCTGTGATGGTGCCAACCAGCAATAATATGATCCTCCAACCCGTAAGTACTCTGGCTTCCCTTCCCACGGTGCTCAGCCCTCTGCTAGGTGCTGGGGCACCAGATGAAAGATGATGACCAGCCCCTGTTCTCAAAAAGCTTATAAAGCAACAGAGTTTAAATTGTGGGGTACTCAAATCACACAACTGGAATAGGGATCACTGCCAGAATCACAGAGGCAGGAGGACCTGAGCTCCTGTCCCCCATGGCGGACTATCTCCCAGTAACGGTGGTCTACACAGTGTTTTCCAGACAAGGAAACTGAGGCTCAGAGAGGTAAAGTCATTTGTCCGAGGCCACACAGTGGTATGTGGCAGCCTGGGCGGCCTCTGATCCCTGATTCCATTTCCTCTTGCCATACGTCCGTTCCATTCTCTGGTTCTACAGGGGTCCAGACGTGGGGAGGACTCCTGGACCACGCAAGGCAAGCCTCAAGGCAAGCCTCATGAGAAGAAGAGTACAGGAGGGGTTCCTGTCCCCTGCTACCAGCGCCCGTACCACACAGGGCATCCTCCTTCTCCCACTACTTCACACCCAGCTTCTCCACAACCATGGGGACCCCACCAATCAGTGCTACTTACATATTCTTTAATGTCCTTCGATTTCACAGCCTTGTAGGAATAATACGCAGGGTAAAGGGTGCCAAATATAAGCCTGGAGGGAAAAGAGAGAGAAAAGAGAAATGTGATTCTCATTCATCCTATTTGATGGAAAATGTCTGTCTTCGATGCCACAAGCGGTTCTCCAAGCTACAGAAGATGCTGCCGTGTGGCTTGATCTAGCTTTACGAATGCCCTGAAGGTTTCTTCTCGTGGCTGGGCCGTGCTTCGGAACCTCTGTCTCCTGCTACAGCTGCACACCCACCTTCCTTCAGCCTGTGATTTGGCAACGTAAAAGAGTGATTCGGGGTCATGGAAGTCAAAAATGGGGGTGAGAGTGGGGGTGGGAAGCCAAGCCGAACCACCATGACCTCTGAAATTAAAGGTCAAACTCTCCTCTCCTGCTGCTAATCCCCACTGATGCTCTGTAAAGCCCGCCCTTTGGGCTTCCTTCTCCAAAAAAAACCTTTCCACTTAAAGTTCCTTCAAATTTCACTCCCCTCACACTTGATTCCAGCATCCTGCGGCCAGAATCAGCTTTTCAAATTGTAAATGCAATCTTCCCAAGACACACATCCCCACCCCGCATTAACCCGCTTCTCAGTGCTCTTAAGAAGAAGAAGGAAGTATAACAACAGCAGCGTGACTGTCTAGGTATCAGCTCTCAGTGACCATGCCCACTGCGGCATGAGGTCATTAAATAGTTTGACTCTCAGCCGTGCCCCAGACCTCTCCCGGCCCTCATTCTCTCCCCCTCTGCCCCATCCCTTCTCAAAGCCTTTGCCTCTGCTGTTCTCACTTTCTGGAATCTTCCCTTTCCCTTCTTTGCCGGTTAATGCCTGTTCATCCATCAGATCCCAGCTCCATCATGACTTCTTCATGGAAAACTTTCCTGACCGCCCCGACTAGGTCAAATCTCCTACGACACAATGTACACATTATCAAAATGCTCTTTTACTACTAGCTGTCATGCTCTGATTGACAACATCTCCCAACTGAACTATCAGTGCCTTCAGGGCACGGAATGAATCTGTTTTGTTCAACAATGTGTTCTCAGTGCCTATGAAATAGAAGGCTCTCAATGGATATATTTAAGTGAATGAACTGACAGAATGTTAGAGCTGCATGGATTTTTAAAAAAATTTAATCCATTCATCTGAGGGATGGGGTCACCTCCCAGGTGTAAGCTGACTGGGAACAGAGCCACCCTGGTCCCAGGCCCCAACAGGAGCCAACATCAGCTGTAACAGCCCCACAGATGGAGCTTCTAGGGTCCCTGCAAGGAGACACCACATCCCGGAAGCCCAAACCCATGGCTTCCTCATCAGGTTATTTAGAGGTCATACAGAGAACTCCCAGGCCAGATTCAATGTACCACGCAGGGGTCAGCTTTCCTATTAGCTCTGTGGCCAGGTGACACCTTGATCTTCCATATTCATCAGGTTTCCAGGGAAAAACAGAAAGTGAATGGAACTGAGTCAGTTTCTGATGTTGAAAGAGAAAGGGTTTTGCAACCTTGACTCACACGGACCTTGCACTACGTGCTTTATAGGCATCACCTCAGTCCTCAGACTGGCCTGGTAAAAGGAACCGTTTTCATAGACAGGATACCAACACATGGAGCCGTTAGTCACTTGCTTGTCTAAGGTTGTGGCACCATAAGGAGTAAAGCAGGGGGCTAGGACCCAGCCAGGTTGGCCTCCTCCATGCCTGGCTTCTCACCACCGTCTACTGCTTTGGAGCACAAGGCCATCCTCTGGGAAGGCCAGAGTTTATGTGTGGGGCGCAAGAGAAGCCAGCAAAGGGGACAAAAGAGTAGTCTGAAAGGACGGGGAAGAAAGTAAGCCTGGGGGAGGGAGGAAAGGAATTTAAGAAAGAGAAAGAAGGCAACAGTGTCAAAGGCACTGGGCAGAGGGGGATGCCTCATGGAGGAGTCTACTGGCTTCAGTCATGAGCCAGCTTGGGGAGGGAGGGCCCTCCAACCACTCCACCCTGCCCCAGCGCCAAGCATTCTCAGATCTCAGGGAGTCTTACTTTCTTAGGAGGCCTTTCCTGACCTTGTCACACCCCACACCCCAGACTAGCTTCCTCTCGCCATGACTCTGGACGTTCCCCTTTCTTAGCCCTGATCCACACCACCTGCAATGGTCTAGTCAATGTCTGTCTCTCACATAAGACTATGTGTCTCCCAAAGCCAAGGATGGTATCTTTCTCATTCATAATCACCCCCGTGGGCCTGGCAAGAGTTCAATAGGTACATATTCATTGTGTGAAGTTTCAGAGAGTGGTGAAGCAAAAGCCAGAGCCAGCCAGGGGACACTTGTGACCTTGGGACTGAGGTTTCAGCATCCAGGGGGGACGCCAGAGGGCACCAGGCTGATTCAGCAAAGCCTCGGGCACGGTGCCACAGGTTCCGGAGAAATAAACACGCCGCTCCTTTGGCACAGATGCCCCGGTTATTAGCCACGTCTGCCAGGATGGTTTCCAGCCCCTGCCCTGAGGCAGCGTAGGAGCTTCCGAAAAGAGAGAGGTGGAAAATGCATCATGACCCAAGGCTGGCTGGTTGATTTGCTCCTCTGTGTACTCCGGTGAGTAGAACAGCACGCCAACACCATCCGGAAAGGCCAAGGGCGCCCAGACAAGAGACGGCGTGCTCCGTCTGCCGGGCTCCTGATGTGACGTGGTTGCCAGTGTCCCCCTGCGCGCCACCCGCCCCATATTTGACAGCACGGGGACAGCAAGACGGACTTGCTTTTCGGTTTCTAAAGGCTCAATGATGCCTCCCGGTAAGGGAGCACACTTAGCACTTCAGGGAAAGGATAATGAGATTAAAATGGCAAGTTCTTCCAAATCTGTTCTGGAGAAAAGAAATAACAAAAAGAAGTAACAAATGAAGCACATCCAAGCCGAAGGGTTTGGGCACTTACGTCCACTCAGACCAAGTCCCTTCTCCAGCGACCCCACCTGCCTTCCTTCCCAGCCTGACGGCCCACCCCTGCCCGAGGCTCCGGATCTCACAGCCAGTAGCTGTCCCCTATAAGCCATGCTCCCTTGCTCACAATCTGTGACTTCCTGCCTGCATCTCAGTGCATGATCTTTCTACAACGCCACAACTTTTTCCTGATAAAGTCCCACTAATCCTTTAAGACCCAGCTCAGACGGGGCGCCTGGGTGGCTCAGTTGTTAAGCATCTGCCTTCGGCTCAGGTCATGATCTCAGGGTCCTGGGATCGAGTCGCACATCGGGCTCCCTGCTCAGCGGGAAGTCTGCTTCTCCCTCTCCCACTCCCCCTGCTTGTGTTCCCTCTCTCGCTGTGCCTCTCTCTGTCAAATAAATAAATAAAATCTTTAAAAAAAAAAAAGGCAATTAAATTTTATACTGGTCACATTTTGTGTTTTCTGTTCTTAGTAAAAAAATGTAATATCTAATTGCCGTTCTCTGAAGGTTTTTTCTAAAAGCGTATGAATCAATTTTTATTACTCTCTATGAGAATTAATCCCCAAGACCATTTTTGCAGTCCACTCTAATAGAAGGATGCTCCTTGGTTTTTGAGATCCTACTGGCATTCAAATAAATACACTAATAATTTTTAATATGAAAAAACTTTGACATGACATATATTTGAAGTCTTCTATATATTCTTTCCTGATACATCCCACTCCCTCCTTCCCCAGAATAACCACTATCCTGAATTTGGTGTTTATCATTCTCACCATGTTTTTATTAACTACGTAAGCCTTGCATAAATAAAAAAAAAAAGTTATTCCTGCTTAAACATTATATAAATTGAATCATACTCCATGTATTCCACTGAAATATGTTAACTTTGTGTTTTTGAAATTTGGTCCATGTTGATACAAGTCTTTTTAGATCATTTTAAACCACTATGTGATATTTCACCATGTGACTGTACCACAAATTGTTTATCCATATATAAATATGCACCTATTCATGCATATTTAGGTACTTTCCAATTTTTTACAATTTCAACAGGGCTGTAATGAACATTCTAATACACGTCTCCTGTGCACATCCTTCTCTAGGGTAGATACATAATGTGAATTATGGGGTACAGCACCGTCCACCATACAATGCAAATCCACTCGCCAAGGAGGTTCTGCCAGTTTCTACTCCTTCCTACAGTGTAGAAGACTTCCAATGCTCCCCATTCTTGCCAAACTGATAGAGATTTAAAATTTTTGCTGATGTTACGTGTGAAATGGCATCTCATGCCTGTTTTAATTTGTATTTCCTCAATTATAAGCGAGGTGGAGCAGTTTTTACACCTATTGGCCATTTGGGCCTGCTTAATTGACCTATTTCTATCCCCCATTAGCTTATATTTTCTTACTGATTTTTAGGACTTCTTTGTGAATTCTGGGTATAAATCCTTCCTTGGACATGTGCATTGCAAACATCTTTCTCCAATTAAAAAAAAACTCTTTTAACTTGGTTTGTGGCCCCTTCTGCTGTATAAGTTTTAAATTTTATATGGACAAATATATCAATCTTTACTTTTATAGCTTTTTTGGTAACTGTTTTATTTTATTTTATTTTATTATGTTATGTTAGTCACCATACAATACATCATTAGTTTTTGACGTGGTTATAGCTTGTTTTTACATCTTGTTAAAGAAATCCTGGTCACATATATTTTCCCATAAATGTGTTTAACTTTTGCTTCTTCACTATTAGGTTTTAATTTACCTGGATTTATCTTTATGCATGCTGTGAGTTCAGGATTCAATTTTATTCGTTTCCGTATGGATCCCAATTGTCCTAGTAACATTTACTGAATCCTTTCCCATTGGGTTTCAGTGCTACCCATCACATGTAGAGTTTTCCACCGTGTTCAGGTGTTATTTCATCTCTCCATTCTGTTCTACTGGTCTACCACCTAACTATGCACTATACTGCAGTGTCTTGATTCTCAGAGTTTTATAAAAAATTTTAATGTTCTTAAAATCGTCTGGCCTATGCTCAGCTTTTTCCTATATGAATTTCATAATAGCTTGCCAAATTCCATGAAAAACTTTACTCAGATTTTGGTTGGAA